TAAAAACATCCACAGATCATAATCCATAATTCAGAGAGAGTGAAAGGTTGCTTACAGTTCATTCAAGAAGCGAACCACAACTTTGATGGTGGCAGAATCGTTGCTCAGATCAAACCCCTAGACAGATCGGATTTCACCAACAACATCTGACCACAAACAAACAAAAGTCTCAAAAATAGAATCTTGATACAAAGAATCATAATAAGACAGTGTCGAGTGGAGATCTATATATACAAAAGACTAAAGACAAACCTTGTAGCTCTAGGTTGGTGTTCGCTAGCACGTGGAGGTGGTCATAACGCCTCACCATGAACCTGTCAGACTTGATAACATGGGCGTTTGTGTGGACCTCACCTTGTACATGTGGGCAACCCGTGCAACTTCAAAACGCTCCAACCTGAAAATACAACCAGCTTTCAACGATGGTCAGTAATGATTCGCCCGAATCGCAGGGATGAAAACGTGAATAACCGAATCCTGTAACGAAAAAAAACTAACTTTAATAGTTCACTGATGAATGTCAGAAAACAAATCTATGTTATACACAACACGTACCAGTTCGTCGAGGAGTAACAACGTAATTCCCATAAACTCACTGTTCTTATTAACGTTNTGAAAACGTGAATAACCGAATCCTGTAACGAAAAAAAACTAACTTTAATAGTTCACTGATGAATGTCAGAAAACAAATCTATGTTATACACAACACGTACCAGTTCGTCGAGGAGTAACAACGTAATTCCCATAAACTCACTGTTCTTATTAACGTTGTGTGAATCCCAGAACCGAATTAGGTGAGCAACAACAGACTGGACCGTCCTTCAAGTTAAAGAGAGGCGAAGGTGGAGTACTCGATGGCGGCGTTAGCGTTCTGAACATCTGAAGAAGACATCCCTACGACGGCGGCTGCGTGGTTTATCAGAATATAAGGTGGATAAAAAGGGGAAACCACGATCTACAAACATATATATATATATATATGGATCCAAAGGCGTAATTGATGGCAAAACAGTTACAAAAGTAAAGATGAGGAGAGGAGTCGAAGAGTACGACTTTGTGGAAGACATTCGCCAGAAAGGGAAACGACTTGAGAAGGATTTAGATGATCTGTAAACGGGCCAACTTACCCAACTTAAATGGGCCAAAAAATAAATAAAGCCCGGTTACTAAATTAAACAGGTGAACAAAAAGAAAGAGACGGCGGCTGCGTGGTTTATCAGAATATAAGGTGGATAAAAAGGGGAAACCACGATCTACAAACATATATATATATATATATATATATATATATATATATATATATATATGGATCCAAAGGCGTAATTGATGGCAAAATAGTTACAAAAGTAAAGATGAGGAGAGGAGTCGAAGAGTACGACTTTGTGGAAGACATTCGCCAGAAAGGGAAACGACTTGAGAAGGATTTAGATGATCTATAAACGGGCCAACTTATCCAACTTAAATGGGCCAAAAAATAAATAAAGCCCGGTTACTAAATTAAACAGGTGAACAAAAAGAAAGATGTTAAGAGGATTCGAACCCAATACCTGCAGAAGGAACCTTTAATTAAGCGGATTATACCACTGGACCAAATGATCATCAATTGTTAATAGTCAACATTACTTAGTTTTGTAGTCAAAAAACCGTACATGGATCATTTAAAAAAGCTGACGTGGCGCGCTGGGAGTGAGTAAACTCCCTCATTATAATATAGATTATATCAATCGTGGCCAACCGGGCTACCACAAACTCTATGGGCATTGTAGGGATGTGAACAAAACGATACTAGTCAATATTTTCGGTATCTGTGAATTATATGTTACTGATATTAATTTTTTTATTTGATTTATTCCAAAAAAAATGGATATCCAAAAATTTGAATATCAAAAATATATAGATATTTACGGATATTTTAATTATTTTATTAATATAACTAATTAAAAAGATTGATATAAATTTGTTATTCAACATATTTTATATGATATATATAAAATTAAAATAAACAAAGCAGTGAAATTATATGTTTCCAAATTTTAAAATTAGTTATAGAAAGACAAAGCTTAAGAAAAAGTTATAGATGTCATTAAATTTTCTTTTCATTTCTTGATTTAATAATTTTTATAAGTAATAATGTGTAAAGATAAATTTATATATTTAACATTCTACATTTCTTGGTATTTATATATCTGTTATAACGAAATAGATAACCATTTTAAATTTTGTTTTGTATTTGTAATTTTTTAATTTTTATAATATTAATTTTTAGTATTGTTTGTCTTTAATATTTAATGGATATCCAAAAAAATTTTATCGAATAAAATATTACTCTCTAATGGGCAGAAATAATGCAGTATGATTTTATTAACCGGAGTTTGTGTACCATATGATGAGAGGCTACGTAGCATGGAACATGTTGATTCTATAGTGAAGCTTCGTCGCTGTCAAATATTACCTTGGCACGCTTAACAATGTTCACCTCAACTAGCATTTTCTCGTGCGTTTTATTTAAATATTAGACTTGTGAAATTTAGTTGAGTAATTTTAATGTTATATCATTCGTTTTCTATATTTGTATCTTTTAATTCAACATGTCCCCGCCATAAATTAGAAAAGTGCATGGACTTAAATTTTGGGGATTTACGTTTCAGTTTGTTATATATTATGGATTATTTCCGAGTTTGATGATCGTCACTGATATGAAAAATATTTGTCTCATCGTCCGACTTTCCTTGAAGATGCATCGGGGAATTACAACACCCGTCACGTCATCAAACTATATCACGCCATCCGATCCGCACGTTAAGTTTCTTTGGTTATAGCAAAACTACACGTCACTACGCAACAATCTATCTAACAACCTCACTAATTTCAATTGGTTGGATGTATAACAGTTCTTTACAATGTAACTTAAGTCCGAAATGGACGATAATATTAGAGATTATAATTTTCTGCGTTATAAATTCACACACACGCATCTATCAATATAACACCAAGCTCACTATAATTACTATCACATCCTTTGTTTGTTGTCTCAGGTAAGTATCTTTTACTGATACTGATTTAATCACAAGGGCAAAGGCTTTGCTATACATGACGTGTTTCTTTTTTTTTTTTGTTAATATATATATGCTAGTTGATTAAATTCCATCTCTCTATAAATTGAAATGCGGGTTGCCAGTTTCAACATACATCTTCTGATAATTCTTATTGAATCTTATCATTAATAAGTTTGATAAACAAATGGATTCAAGATTCAACGAAACCGTTCCTTCCCTGAGGTCTGTCTCTCTAATTCATCATTACAACTCCGAGTACCCTTATTTACTTTGATTTAATTGTTTCAAATATACATATATGCTAGTTACTGTATGTATTAGGGATAAGATATTAAACATAGAGAATTAAATGAGATTTTAAGTAATATATAAAGAATTGGTATCAATCTACTTATCATTAATTAATTTTAAGTTGAAAGTCTATAATAAATGTGAATCTAATATAGTATAAAAGTCCAAATCTTAAAAACCTTAAATTTCGTAGTTAATAAAATAACTCATGTGAGCGGATATAAATATCGTATTTAATGTTCCAATTAGGTATAGTTTTGGTACTTGATTCGTTCCACCGAATATAAATAATCTAAAGTTTGAGATGAAAAAGAATTATCACTCTTATCATTTTCATAACACTGATTGACGAAATTTGTCCGTCCCTAATTTTTTTATATATTATTTTAGGTCCTACTGAATTTTCTATGTGTAATATTTATCCCTAATAGTATGTCTGTCCACTTTTAATCTATGTCAATATGCAGGTATATTGATGAAAATAGTGATGATGAATTTGCATTTGTGAAAGCTTTACGTATGATTGGGGGAGATGGAGCCAACAGTTACTCCGCCAATTCTCGTGTTCAGGTTCTTCAATATTCTTTTCCTTTCATTATTTTACAAAATTAACCTTATTTGGTAAAGCAAAGGAAAAAATAAATAATTTCATTATGGTGAAATAGAAATTTAAATATTAAACAATAAAATTTTAAGGTGTAATAAAAGAAGAACGTATCCAGTCTTTGCTTATCTGAATTGTGAAGCAGTCAAAATCCATAGAAAATTATAAATATCATACAAGTAGAATACATGTTTAAAAAAAAAAATCAACATGAAGCTAATAGGAAATACTTAGTTTTACTAATTTACTAATTTCGTATCATGCATATACGTCTTGTTAGTGCTAGACACAGTTTTCTTTTCAACCACATACAAATGAAATAAAATAGGTTCATAACTCATAAGACTAAAACGAGGTTACTTTAGAATGAGACAGATACATAAACTTAAAAATGAGTGAATAATCTTATCAGAATAAATAAAAAGACAATTTAAGTCCCACATCGGATATTAGACAGAATAAAGTCAATATATATAGCTGGTCTAATCTCATTTAATATGAGGTTTTTTTAGAGTAACGACCCAAGAACAAATATGTGAGGATTTTAGACTCAAAGCGGACAATATCATACTAAGCAAGGGATTGGACATCTGGTGACGGACGTTTGGCTCTAGTTGAGCATCTGGCCTCCAGCACGGACATCCGGTCTGGCTCTAATAGAGCATCTGGCCCAGGAGTGCATCCGGTCCGTCACAACAGATTGGTATCAGAGCCCAAGGTTCTGTGGTCCTTGGTTTGAGGGGAAGATTGTGAGAATAAATAAAAAGGCAATCTAAGTCCCACATCGGATATTAGACAGAATAAAGTCTAATATATATGGTGTTAAAAAAAAAAAAAAAAAGTCTAATATATATAGCTGGTCCAATCTCACTTAATATGAGGTCTTTTGGGAGTAACGACCCAAGAACAAATCTGTGAGGGTTTTAAGCCCAAAGCGGACAATATCATACTAAGCGAGAGATTGGACATTTGGTGACGGACGTTTGGCTCTAGTTAAGCGTCTGAACTCCAGTACGGGCATCCGATCTGGCTCTAGTAGAACATCTGGCCCATGAGTGCATCCGATCCGTCACAACAAATCTAATATGAAAACGAAGAAACCATCTCTTTGCCGTTCTCGTCTGAACCTGGGTCTCAATCTAATTTTAATTTGTTACAAACTTAAATTTATCGTAGACTATTTTTTATTTGAAACAAGTTTATATCTCCATATATTTTTTTACTAGCTAGTATCTTTTCTTTTTAACTAGTATCTTTCTCTTTTTTTTTTGGTTCGTAGAGAAGAGGTATAATAATGGCAAAACCAGTCTTGGTAAAAAACACAGAAGAAATGATGATGAGTTTAAACTTTCCTAACTATATCAAAGTTGCTGAACTGGGTTGTTCTTCGGGGCAAAACACGTTTTTGGCTATCTCTGAGATAATCAACACCATCAATGTGCTGTGCCAACAATCGAACCAAAACCTTCCAGAAATCGATTGTTGTCTGAATGATCTTCCAGAAAACGATTTCAACACAACGTTCAAATACGTACCCTTCTTCAACAAGGAGCTCATGATCACAAACCAAGCATCGTATTTCGTCTATGGAGCACCAGGTTCCTTCTACTCTAGGCTCTTCTCTCGCAACAGCCTCCACCTTATACACTCCGCATACGCTCTCCATTGGCTCTCTAAGGTACATTTTAGAAAATTGTTAAGACTCTGTTATCTAGGCATGTGCTAGAGGAACATTTGCATTAGGTTGCAAAAAAAAAAATTGTAATACATTTTGTAGCAGTTATATTTAAAGTTTATGAACCATTTTGCAAAACTGTTTTATTTATCCTCATAAATTAAAATTTGCACATAGTCCATAAAAATAATGAAACGGGCCTGGTTATAACATATTCATTTTACATAAAACTTTGAGTTACTTGATAACTAAACGGTGGAGTTGTGTGTTTATAATTACAGGTTCCAGAAAAACTCGAGAATGAAGATGTGTTCATAACAAATACAAGTCCTCAAAGTGCATACAAAGCTTACTTGAACCAATTCCAACGAGATTTCACAATGTTTCTAAGGTTACGTTCTGAAGAAATTGTCTCTAATGGACGAATGGTTCTTACCTTCATCGGTAGAAACACTCTTAACAATGATCCATTGTATAGAGATTGTTATCACCTTTGGTCACTGCTATCAAACTCTCTCCATGAGCTAGTCTTCGAGGTATATATATTAGGAGATTTATAAATCTTTTCTTATCTTTGTGTTTTCCATAACTCGATATAGTGTTTACTTCCTTATTTTCGGTCTTCTACATTTTTTTCTAGATTCGTCTTGGTTTCTAGATTTTCTTTATCTTAGTCTTTTCCATAATCTTAATATGGTCTTTTTTCTCTATGTACTAATAAAATATATAAAACCTTTTTGATCATTTTTATTATTGTTTTACTTAGACATGGTCATCATATCATATCAATCTATTTATTAACAGGGCCTAGTGAGTAAATCAAAACTGGATGCATTCAACATGCCATTTTATGATCCGAACGAGCAAGAACTCAGAGAAGTGATACGGAACGAAGGCTCTTTTGAAATCACTGACTTAGAGACACATGGATTCGATCTAGGTTACTGTAACGAAGAAGGAGATCACAACTATGAAGTCGCAGGATACAATGTAGCCAAATCTGTAAGAGCCGTTACTGAATCAATGCTCGTTGCTCATTTTGGAGAAGATATCAATATCGACATCTTGTTTGATAAGTATGCTCGCCATGCGACACAACACTCGAGCTGCAGTAACAAAACGAGTGTCACTCTTGTCCTCGCGTTGACTAAAAAATAAAACAGCTTTTGGTGCTTGTAATATTTACTTATAATAATTTAATTTCCCTATATTCCATTAATAAATTCTAAGACTTGCCCCTTCATCTTGTGATCCTTGTCCTGGAAAATAGATTGTGATTGTAATATGCTATACTTTCTTTGTTATATTTGTTATGTGTGTGTGTGTGATTGTAAGATCTCTTTTTCAATATCTGCAAGATATGTAATAATCATCAATGATAAAATGCATGGTCAATTTGGTGAAACAATAAGTATTAGGATTTTTTTCAATAAGAGAATATTATTTAGGACATAAAATTTTGAAACACGCTATACTTGAAATAAAATTAAGGAGGACTCTGATGTTGCTAATGCAGATTAATTACTTTAAGCGCATACAATTTGATTAAGCGAAATCTTTTTTTTTTTTGTAAAAGAATTAAGCAAAATATTTGTTGGCACACATACTTGTTCGACCTTATTTGAGATTAGATGAAGGTTAATCCACTCAGAACATCTCCAATTCATTCAGTTTTCTATTATAAAATAGAGTTTAGAATAAAAAAATACTCTAATAATATTCTATTTTTATTCTATAATAGAGTTAAAAAAATTACTATATAAATAGAATAACTCGTTTACTCTTGGTTCATTAATCTTTTTTTTTTATTTTTACAAAAGTTATTGCAGTAGAATTCAATTCTATTATAAAGTTACTTAAAAAAAAAATTATACTCATATATCATTGATCACCTCAACTAGCATCTTTTCTGTTCATTTTAAATTTTCGTAGTACGCAAATTATACGAAGGAGATTAAGATGCATCGAGTAGTTTGACTAGTATGGTATTAGTTCTCTGTAATATTTCATATCCAAACACACGTTACATAACCTTTGAGAAGAGAAGGACAAAATGTATTCCACATTTATAATAATCTTATTCATCTTAATTATAATTGTAGTTTATCCTTGTGACTTAGGACTATAAGATCAATCAAAGTTTCTCATCAATCCTAGTAGATCATTTGACATGAACATACGATTCCTAGAAAGATGGAAACTCTCCCCTTCTTTCAAGTTGAGGAAAAGAAGCAAAAAAACTTATCTTTGACATTATATGCAGAAATGCAGCATTTCTTGATACACAAGCAACCATCTTCAAAACCAAAATTAAGAAAACCCAAAAGTTGGATCAAAAACATTAATGAATAAAATGTTTTTTTCTACCGCCAAGCTTCAAAAAGCTCAACTCTGTAATTCACACGTCCCACTATACTACTAGCATTCGACATTAGTCCTCTTCTCATCCCAACCGTTGTGCTTCTTTCTAAAACCTCCATTGTTGTTATACGACTTCACACCAAGAACTTCTTTGCATATTCTTCTTTTTCTCGCATTTCCACCTCAAAGTTATCTACAGCTTCCTTATTGTTAGCTTGCATGAGATGCAACAACTGTCTGCTGCTCTGATCACCATTCTCGTCCATAGGACCCGGATTTGAACCTGGAATCAACCTATCTCGAGACTCTCTCCGGTCCTTAAGCGTCTTTACAACAAGCGTCTTGAGAAAGTTCATGACTTGCACAACATACATTAGAGCTGTCAAAGGATCCAACATCTGTAATCTAAAGCACACAACATTGACTCATTTCATTTGCCATAACTTCAACAAATAAACATGATTTACATACAAGTATATCTCTTAAGTGGGACTTTCGTGTTCGATATTCTCTTGAGGATGACATGTATAACATATACATTTGAGAAATAGTATACAGATAGAAGTTAACTTTACATAATAACTTTAGCTTTATGACTATAATTCATATATCAAATACAAATAAAAATTTCATTCATATATGAGAACGTTAGTCCATATAAATGCTTTATAATCTTAAACTAAAATTATTATATATATATATATATATATATATATATTACATAAGGTAATTAAGAAGCCAATTAGGCAATCAAATAAGAAAGTTGTCTAAAAAAGGCAATCAAATAAGAAAATTAAAGACAAAAAAGTAAAACTTGAGAACTACCCGATTTTGGTAAATCTCTTTGTGTAAGATTCAAATAAGTAAATTACTTCATATCATGACCAACGTAATTTATAAGATTATTATTTACTAACATTTGACCAGAGTATGTAATTGGCTATTCATTTAGGTCCTCGAAGTACATTTTATAAAATTATTTTTTTCTATTTTATATAAATAATTTGGTTATGGGGCATAAATAAAATTGTGAGTGAGGAGAACATCAATTTAATGTATTTATAATTTGCACTGATCTTATAAATTTGACTGGTGGCAGCTGCCAGCCTACCACCATGTTGAAACAAGTAAATCCGCTCCTGCCATCATCAGTTTCTTCTGACCTATCAGAAATTTTGTCTCGAACCATGTGATCTAAAATTTCTACCTGGGAGACGAGTTTTGAGCTTCTCAAACAGTATTGCATGCTAACATATCTCATTCATCCCGCGAGAGTTATGTGTCTTTTGTAGTTTCACATCTCCAGTTTTGATAAATTAAACAAACCTGTCGAGAAGAATTTTTAGTTATTAAGTATTCGGCACTTAATAATCGTACTGTATAGGCCACATATTGCATATTTCATGAAGGATGCCGCCCACCTCTTTTTTTGTTCTTTTATATGAAGACATTTGAGTGTACTACTAATCGATCGTAACCTACCACACACTCTATGGGAAGAAATAATGCAGTAAGCAGTACGATCGAAAATAATTTTTTGCTAACCGGAGTTTTGTGTTCCACATGATGTGAGGTCTATGTACGTGGGCCATAGAGCATGTTGATCTAATGACTTAAACTTCGGTATTTAGGTGCAGAAACAAAAGGATACACATAATTTTTACGTTTAGTAAACTTCAACATAATTTCCTTTAGTTAAAACGAAAATTTTATATAGTAAAATATGGGTATTTATGAGTTATATACATATTTAAAATCAAAATTTATTTATTAACATAATCTTAATCATTTTTTTCTTGAATTTATTGGTGGATATACACATAGAATAAGGAGATATAGACTCAATAGCCACAAAACTTTTTTTTTTTGTTTCTAAACTAGCCCACAAGAGTTAACTGACCAAATATATTTCATTTAATAGATAAATGACAATTTTATTATTTATTACAGATTATCAAATAAAAATTCTACAATACAATTAAAAAGGACTTCAGTGTTGCTACCCCATGCAAGTATTACCGTAATCTCATACGGTTTGACTCAACGAACCTTCAACATCACACAATCTGTTCACACTTATTTGAGACAACCATAAGAAACCTCGTCACTGTCAGAAATTTTGACATTGACACATTTAGAACATTTTCATTGGAGGTTTTAATATACATATTAGTATAAATATTTTAATTTTACGAAAAATTCAATCCAAAGCATGTCTGTAAAAATAGGACTTCCTGCAAATTAAAATATTTATAATTAAATTATATATATATATATATTTATATTGAGAACCCCTATTAAAATGTGTTCTTAATCTTTGTTTACTGGAAGATACTCCTCAATGTTCACCTCAACTAGCATTTTCTCGTTCATTTAAAATGTTTATGTACGCTTTTATTAAGAAAAAGATTTGGCATGTGAAATATATTCGAGTATTATGATTATATAGTATTCATTTTCTCGGTACATCAGATTTTGTCATCTTCAGTTCAACATGCCAGCTCCAGCAATTAAAAAATTTCCGTGGTCTTAGCAGTTAAGTTTTTTTGGGGTCTTGCAGATATGGTCTTTGATATGAAAATTACGTACATCTCATCGTCCAGGCTTCCCTTAAAATGCATTAGAGAATTACAATGCACCCCACGCCATTCTCACACCAATATCATATCAACTTTAACTACTGCCATATATATATATATATATACATATAATATAGTAATACCAGGTCCAAAACTATACGCCACTACGTACCAAAACCCTAGACGACACAAAACTTTCCGACCACCAAAAAACGCTCTTCTGCAACAATCTATACGAGAACCTCACCAATTCCAAAATTGGTAATAACTTCAACTAGTTGTATGTAATAATAATTAAAAAATGTAACATTTTACCCCAAAAAAAACAACTCTTTTAAATAGGTAATTCACGTCCGAGAAGGTAAGGATATATTAGTGATTAAAACTTGTTGGGTTATAAATAACTCACACATACGCATCTATAAATATAGAAACAACGTTACTGTATACTATCACATCCTTAGAAGTTCGTCTTATTTACCTAATTGCGCATTTTAATTGTAAAGCATCTTAATTAAATGAACTAAACTATTAGGTCAATCTGTGACAAAAAAACTATTAAAGTCAGCAAAATAACATAATTTCAGAATGAATATTCTAGAGAATTTGTTATTTTGGGGTCTGATATTGTTAATTACTCCATTCATTTCATTTTAACTATCTACAACAAAATATTTGCTGCAATATAAATGTTATTTTAGTATTTTAATATAAAATTTATTAATTTTATATAAATGTTTTTTATATTTTCTAATCTATTTTTACTAGTTGAAATCTGAAAACTGTACAAATAATAATATTTTTAATTTGTTAGTATAAATCTAAAACGATAATCAAAATGAAACAAAAAATATATATTTTAGTGGTATTTATTAATCACGAGGGCAAGCTACACATGGCGTGTCTCATGTACTTACTTTTAGTATGCTACTTGATTAAGTTTCATCCCTCTATAAATTGAAGGGCGAGGAGCATTTTCAACACACATCTAATAATTTTCCTTATCATTAATAAGTACCATAACAATGGATTCAAGATTCAACGATACCGTTCGTTCCTTGAGGTTTGTCTCTCTATTTTATCTTTATAAACGCCTAGTACGTAGTACTTATATACATACATTTATATATGCCAGTTAATGTATGTCCACTATTAATATATGTATATCACGATGCAGGTATAATGATGAAAAGAGTGACGATCAATATGCATTTGTGAAAGCTTTACGTATGAGTGGTGGAGATGGAGCCAACAGCTACTCCGCCAATTCTCTTCTTCAGGTTCTTCAATTTTATTTTCCTTTTAGTTTCAATTAAAAGAAAAATAATATATATATATATATATATATATACTTGATAAAGCATATGAGAAAGCTATTTATTATGGTGGATTGTATTTTTAAAATATTAAAAAAATAAAATCTAAGGTGATAAATATAAGAAAATAACGTATATATACTTGTTTATATGAAATTGTTAATCAATTAAATCCATATATTTTTTATCATGCCACTGAAAGACTATAAATTTCTAATCAATACAAATAGATAGCATACAAAAAATAAGTAAATAAGCAAAAATAGTTTTCCCATGTTTTGAAACTGCAACACAGGTTACATCTCTGTTTTTTTTTTTAAACTATGTAAGTTATTTATATTTATTAATTATAGAAAAAAATTGAAACACAGGTTACATCTCTCTATATTTTGGTTAGTTTTCAGTACTACTAAAAAAAGAAGTTATGAACTTATGAAAGAGTCCACGCGGGTAATTGTTTGGTGATGTGGCATATATAAATCCATTTCCAGTTGAGTTCAGTTCTCATTCGGAACAATAGTTTTGTCTGTGATTAAACATGTTTAATTTAGTATTATGCATATACGTCATGTTAATGCTAGACACAGTTTCTTGTCAAACAAAAAAGAAAACAAAGAGCATGCTCAACGGAGAGAATTTTACAAAGTATCTAAGATTAAATAAAATAGAAAAATATAAAATGGAAGAGAAAAGACGAGATACAAGTTTTAAATTAGAACTTTATAGCTACCCTCCTCCAGATATTCACTATGTCTCAGTCTTTAAATGGTTAACATGTTTAAAAAAAATTAATTTAATCATAGAACTATATTATAATAATAATATTTTGTAGCTGTGAATTTCATTATGAATATCACAGAATTTAAAAACATAGTTACTCAATAGTTAATTTACTTAGGGTAACTTTCACTTAAGAAACTACCACAGAATTTAAAAACATAAATGCAAAACTTTAATAAAATTTTATATTTTGGTCTTTAAATTTTAAAACCAATAAATAATTGACAACTAATAAATCCTACTATATCTAAAAGGTTTGCTGCAGAAAATTTCTCTTATTATCTCACATGTTTTTTTCATTATTTTATTTTTTTTATACTGATATATACTTTTTTATATCTTCCCATTGGACTTGCTCTTATAAGAGAATGAGACATACACATAAAATTGAATAAATGATGAAATCATTTCTTAACAAGTAGCCTTCTCCTTTTTTTCTGGTTCGCAGAGAAAAGTTTTATCAATGACCAAACCAGTCTTGGTAAAAAACACAGAAGAAATGATGATGAATTTAAGCTTCCCTAACCATATAAAATTTGCTGAATTGGGTTGTTCTTCCGGGCAAAACACGTTTTTGGCTATCTCTGAGATCATCAACACCATCAATGTGCTGTGTCAAAACTCGAACCAAAACCCTCCAGAAATCGATTGTTGTCTGAATGATCTTCCTGAAAACGATTTCAACGCAACGTTCAAGTTCGTACCCTACTTCAACAAGGAGCTCATGAAGACAAACCAAGCATCGTGTTTCGTCTATGGAGCACCAGGTTCCTTCTACTCTAGGCTCTTTTCACGTAATAGCCTCCATCTTTTACATTCTTCTTACGCTCTACATTGGCTCTCTAAGGTACTTGTAAGAATTTTGTTATAACATTTTCATTTACCTATAAAACTTTGACTAACTGATAACTAAATGGTAGAGTTGTGTATTATTTATAGGTACCAGAAAAACTCGAAAATGACAAGGAAAATGTGTACATCACAAACTTAAGTTCTCAAAGTGCATATAAAGCGTACTTGAATCAATTCAACCGAGATTTCACAATGTTTTTAAGGTTACGTTCTGAAGAAATTGTCTCTGGTGGGCGAATGGTTCTTACCTTCATCGGTAGAAACACTCTTAACAATAACTCATTGTATAGAGATTGTTGTCACTTTTGGACACTGCTATCAAAATCACTCCATGACCTAGTCTTCGAGGTATATTTTAATATTTTAATAATAAAAATAATAGTGTGTTTTGTGTTTTTGTCATAAGACATGATTGAATGGAATTATTTAAAAGGAGAATGAAAAGATACATTGTTTCAAAATAATTAAAATATTTGAATAAACACCTTATTTCAAATTAACTAATTTTTGAACGGACACATTACTTTAAAAATTAAAATATAGAATTTTTGAAAAGACATTTTTGAATTAATTAATTTTAAACAGACATAATGTTTCAAAAATAATTTAATATAGTAGAAATAAAGCACAACCTTTCAACTTAATAGGAATTCATAACCTTTGGAAATAATTAGGATTGTTATTATTAGTAGATTATTCTTATAATATTTTGATAAATTTCGACATGGTCCTCGTCAGTGTTATTAAAAATTAGTATCAAAAATTGCCTAGGCGATAAATCGATCTTAGCCGAAACAATTTCTTTTAAAATAGATTTTTTATGGTTCAAATCTGTTAAATCAAACAATAGTGTTAATATAAATTTAAATTTTGTCTAATTCCTTTTTTGTATATCTAATTTCTTATAATTCATCAAAATAATTTCATGTTGAATCAAAAAGCTAAAACATTCAATATAAATGTAATATATATAATAAATTGATAGTTAGTAATGTATAATATATAAATCACTTATTGCTAATCATTTACAAAACGACTAGTTACCGCCTAGCGATTTATTCCTCAACCTAGCAATCTCTTCATTAACAGGGCCTAGTGAGTGACTCAAAACTGGATGCATTTAACATGCCGTTTTATGATCCGAACGAACAAGAACTCAAAGATGTAATACAAAACGAAGGTTCTTTTGAAATCAATGACTTGGAAACACATGGATTCGATCTTGGCCATAGTAACTGCGACATCGAAGAAGAAGACAATGGAGCAGGATACAATGAAGCCAATCATATAAGAGCCGTTACTGAACCAATGCTCGCTGCTCATTTTGGAGAAGATATTATCGATATCTTGTTTGATAAGTATGCTCTCCATGTGACACAACATTTGAGCTGCAGAAACAAAACGAGTGTCACTCTTGTGGTCGCGTTGACTAAGAAATAAACAGCTTGTGCTTGAATATAAATTATAAAGGAGATTATTATACATATAAGCAATCAAAGTGAATATAGTTGCTTGTTTATTTACTCATTATTTAATAAACTAAGACGTGTCCCTCATGTGATGATGTGATGCTTGTCCTGGTAATGTATTGTGATTGTAATGTATGTATGTTATGTGAGTTGTAAGATTTCTTTCTCAATTTCTTTAAGATATGTAATAATTAATCAATGATAAAAATGCATTGTCAATTTGGTGAAACAATAATATTTATGTTATTAAAAACCGTATCTATAACATTATTTGAGAAGTAAATTTGCTTAGTTGTCAACTTCTCCATGATTTTAGGTTATTTTGCTTATTTTCATGTTTTAATAATTTATTATATAATAAAAACGAATTTATGTTAATAATATTATATTTTTAGAAAATATGTTAATTCTTTTGTATTAGATTGTTATCTTAAAAATATATTTTTCATCTATAACATTATTTGAGAAGTAAATTTGCTTAATTGTCAACTTCTCCATGATTTTAGGTTATTTTACTTATTTTCATGTTTTAATAATTTATTATAAAATAAAAACGAATTTATGTTAATAATATTATACTTTTAGACAATATGTTAATTATTTGGTATTAGATTGTTATCTTAAAAATATATTTTCAATTATAAAATTTAAGTGAATTTGCTGATTAATTTGTAACTTTCACGTTGAAAGTTAGAGCGGTTAATATCGTTTATATCCTTAATGAACAATTAAAAAATTTAATATAATTAAACGTAAATAAAAAACGAATAAACATTATTAAAGATAATTTTTTATATTTTTTTGTTATGTCTAAAAATGATATTAATTTATTACTAAATGTTTTAAGTTCATGAGTATTTTCAAATATAAGTTGTGTAATGAAAATTATTTATATGATGAGGAAAACTTTTATATATAAAAAGAATTTTTTTGTTTATTATTAAATATTTTGAGTCTATGAACTATAATTTATTATAATTTTCATAAATTGATTATATATTTATTTATAGATATTAGTAAAATTATTAAGCCCGCAAGTGCGGGCAAAACACCTAGTTAACTATATTTGTCCAAAAAAATAATCACAATCTACTTGCAATATAATTGCATAGGATTATGATGTTGGTTAATTATAGTTTAAGCTCATACAATTTGATTAAGTCAGTCTTCGTCAGCACACACACACTTGTCACACTTATCTGAGACTAGCAGTAGATGAAGGTTACTAACTCGTATCAGAGATTATCATTTTGTTACTGAATAGTTTTCCGTTCGTTTTAAATTTTAAAGATCTTGTTTTAAGTCAGTTACATTAAGGGGATTAGGATTAGTCAGTTACATAAGTTCCATAACCTTTGAGAAGATGAGAACAAATTAAATGTATTCCTCATATATAAATCTTACGTTTACTTCATATGATACATGTCTTTTATCTCTGTGACTTTAGATTATAAGATCAATCAAAAAGCTTTTCACCAAAAAATGGGATATCCTTGTAGATCATTTTACATGAACATACATCTTGTGTGATACACACTAAGGAAGAGAAGCAAAGAAAGAAACTTATCTTTGACATTATATGCAGAAATGCAGCATTTCTTGATACACAAGCAACCATTATCAAAACTAAAACATCCCACAAAACCCAAAATCAAGAAAAATCCAAAAGTTGGATCAATCAAAAACATGAACGAATGAAATCTATTATTCATCGCCAAGCTTCAAAAAGCTCAACTCTATAATTCACACGTCCAACAATACTACTAGCATTCGACATTGTCCTCTTCATCTTCCTCTTATTCTTCTCCTCCCATCCTCTCTGCTTCTGACCAAACCCTCCATTGTTAATCAAAGACGACTTTACTCCAAGAATTTCTCGAGGTTCTGCATTTTGTTCTGCTTCTTCTTTGTCTTTCATTTCAACTTCAAAGTTATCTACAGCTTCCTCCTTGTTAGCTTCCATGAGATGCAACAACTGTCTGCTACTCTCATCACCATTCTCGTCCCTAGGACCAGGATTCGAACTTGGAACCAACCTATCTCGAGACTCTTTTCGGTCCTTAAGCGTCTTTACAATAAGTGTCTTGAGAAAATTCATGACTTGCACAGCATACATTAGAGCCGTCAAAGGATCCAACATCTACAATCAAATAGTAAGTACACATAAGTTAACTGAGTTTCATTCACCAAAAAAACCTCCACAGATTAAACTAAACCTGAGTCATGTTAGGTGCAAAAACCATAGCTATGTTTCTAGCATTCATCTTGTTAACATGTTCCATCTCCACAACATCAGCCATCAAATTAATTGACCAATCTAACAAAGAAGCTTCTGTTGAAAGAAGAAGCCTCACAAGCTCCACACACTCTTCTTCACTTTCGGATTCCATCACTTTCTCTGGTGAGAGTGAGTCCAACACACCAGTGGGAAGCTCCCTAAACCAAGCCTAAGTAGAAAAAAACAGTTAAAGAAAGAAAGAAACAATAAGAAGTAAGAATCCAAGTGTAATACCTTAATGAGACTTGCTAAGCAATGTACATCAATGTTATCTGGAACAACACCTTTATTCAACTCTTCTCTTATGTACTCCTCTTGACCATTCTCACCATTAATCCTGAAGATTCCTTCTACCTATATATATGGCAACAAAGTGTTAATACTTACTGATGCAAATCATTTTAAACAAAACACAATTACACACGAAACCTGCAAGCCGCCTCTAATGTACAAGTGACTCTGCATCATCAAGAGTATAGTAGGCACAACGTTCCCTCTAGTATCATAAGACAGCTGCATTGACTCAGTAGAGACACCAAACACCGTTGCACTGCAAGAGAATTTAACATTTCAAGAAACTGTCTAATTTTAACTCAAGAACCTTAAAACAAAAGCAAACGAAACCTAGCACTAGGAGCACGTCTAGGGACATCAGGTTCAAACTCAACAGGCAAGCCAAGGAAGCCATGGAAACGATCAAAGGTGACATGAGCCACGTGTCTAACATCAGTAGGGACACCAATCTCCATTGAAGAAAGATTCTCTTCTTCTTCTTCGCCAACGCAGCCACCAATCACAGACCTTCTGATAGCAGAAGCAAGAATCTCTAAAGAAGACGAAAGCTCAAATCTTTCCCTCTCTTCTTCTTCTTCTTGCTCACGAGGAATGTTAAAAAGAGAATGTGGGTTGGCTCTGTTACCACCATCATTGGTGCCTACGCAGGAGCTTGAAGGTGAAGAAAAGTGGCATGATTGGGTTGATTTTAGTACTCTAGCTGCCATCTTTATCCTGAAGATAAAAATCAAGACTTGGAGTGATGGGTACTCTCTCTTGAGGGAAAGAACAGTGAAGGTGTGGTCAAACTCAAAAGGGTATAAAAAAAAAAGAGTTAAACCTAGAAAAGGAGAGAGTAGTAGTAATGGGTAATTAATGATGGCTGTTGGGAAATGGTAATGAGGGGGGAGAAGATTGAAAGATTAAAACTTTTTTTTTTTGGGTACTAAGCGACGCGTAGAGTTGAATTCAAGAAAGGGTTTGTTTTTTTTTTTTAGTTGGTGGGTTGTAATTATCACTTCTTCTTATTGTACAGAGAGAAGAGACAGGTGGAGTTAGGTGAGAGAAGGGGTAACGAGGAAGATGAAGGTTTAGCTGTCTTTTTATGTATCTCTTTATTGGTACTATTATTTTGCTGTTGCCTCTGGTCCAAAATGAATATCAAGCAGAAGTAGTAGCTTTTGTTTCTATGTGAAATATATCAATTTTACCATTGTTAAATAAAAATAAAATCGATTTGAAAAAAATTGTTAGATCAGATTTTTTATAACATTTGATTTACTAAATATCAATGGTGAATTTACTGTACAGGTTCTGACTATTATTTGACTCCTTTAATCAATGGTGAAACTTTACAGTAGAATCAGTTGAAAAGAAACAGTAAAAGATTATCCACAGTAAGACCAGTTTTGTGTTTTTTCTTGTTGATTGATAAGTATATAATCAGATTTTGAAGAAATCCAAACAGCATGGTGAAATTTTATTAAACAATATGCATCCAATGTGAATCTCTAGTTACTTGCAATGGTCCACGAGTTTACTTTTTATATGTTTTGATAAAAAAAAAATATACTTTTGTTACCGTTGTAGGGAAGCCATCTCCAAGACTTTTTACCTCTTCCCCATAAACTAAAGAGAAAGGTGCTAAAGAAAAATAAAGGGAGAAGAATAGTGAAGTTGGTGAAAGTTCTTTTTGGATTAGTTGTTGAAATCCAAATTATGTTTTTGTGTTGGAGATTCCCGACCACAGTAATACCTACTTTCAAGATCGTAGTAGATGACTTGCAACAAAAGTTTAGAGGAATTTTGTAGACAGATCACAAATACCTACTCTTCTACCAATAAAGTACATGGGGAGTCATGATACTTCGTGGTAGATGTGACTTATAAGTTTTGTTGTTCGATTTATAATTGGAACTAGACCACCACACCCACGTGTGCCGACGACCTATGTGCCGAACATTCCGTTGTGTGCTACGTGTTGTTGCTGTTAGATTCGAAATGTATCATTTCATTCTCATTTGCCTTAGAACAAGGATTCGTGGGGCACATGTCTTTCCTTTATTCCTTCCACTTTCACTTCTTAAAGCAGCTTTCAATTAAACAGAGAAGCCAAACGGCATGATTATGATATCACTACCAAAAAAGATATGGAAAGAAAAAAGATTGGTATAGTAACAAAGCACATTTCAATGACCGTTTGGAGCTTAGTTTGCCCCTAAATCCAAAACCCCACACAAAAGGCTTTTGCTTTGTGTTAGGTTTGGCCCAATCGATTTTTTTCTGTGCAACTTTAATGACTGCTTTGTTGTTATTTCTGTTGTAATAAATTGTAGCAATGCTTACAACAAATCTTTTCAATTGTAGGAACAAAAGATCTAAACTGTATAGAACGTGGAGACCCGTTTATCCTGCCACAATTCATAACTCAAGGATAGTAATTAAAAAAAAAAAACAGCAAAGAGAATGCTTATAATCACTAACCACAGGTTCATAGAGATCATTAGAACATAGGAGTAAACAAAGAAGAGGAATTTATCATCATATCAAACTTGTTTAACATCGAATTATGCTGATGACGGTCTACAGATTAAGTTGCAACACAGAGTAAAAAACTCAGTCAAAATACAGGTTTTGATTACCGAGAGCAGAAAGTACTGTAAAAAGCTAAGATCTTCCAACTGGTTCAAGAGCTTCAACGGTGACAATGCTGTTTCCTCTTATCACCTGCATCCAAGAATCATGCAATACAATTAAAACAAGACTACTACGACTCTTAAAGAGAAGAGAGAAGAAAAGATATAGGGAAACGCACCACCATGCCAATGTCAGTTTTGTCATCACCATTGACTTCAACAGTGTTATCCACAACAAGATTCATGAACTGGTCAAACCCACGGAGAGTTCCAACCACCATTCTGTTGGCATTCAGCTTAACTACAATTGTTAAAAATAAAGTAAATTGAGAACATAACTACAATAAGATGAGGACGATGCAAGCAAAGTTTCAAAAAGAAACCAGAACGTGAAACAACAAGACCAAGCAATCTATCTATATAAGCAAATAGCTATGAATCTTGATGTTATATGGTTAATAAGTAGCAATCACAACATTAAACCAGAAGAAACAGCTGATAGAAAAATCAATGCTAAACTTGTAGCATTGTATCATATACTTAAGCTGTAAAAGTAAATACAAGTTTAATCCATAAACAAAATCACACAATCAAGCGAACTTTCAGCAAGAGATTCAGTGAAAAGCAAGGAATGTTTATAGATTGAGCGAAGAAGAGATTGGTGACTTACTCTGGAGTTTCTTGTCCATGTACCTGTTTCACATCAAACAAACGAAGAAGCAGATCAGTAACACGAAGAGAAGAATCGAAAATAAAAAAAAGGAGAACAAATTGAGAGGAGAGCTTACTTTTTGAGATCCGGAGGCTGGCCTGATCGACTCATCCTTGCGGGAATCGGAGGGAGGAGACGATTAGGGTTTAGGCTCAGCTCACAACTCACTCGATAGATCGAGAGACTTCAGAGATAATAGACAAAAGAAAAAGTCCGACGTCGGTCAGGAAGTCAAGAGTTTCGTTTCAAGGCCCAGTGTTACTGGATAGAGGCCCAAAAAAGCCTTTCACTTAATAACCAAAAAGTATATGGGGGTGTTCGGAATATCGAACTCCGGACCTCTCGCACCCGAAGCGAGAATCGTACCACTAGACCAAACACCCTTGTTGCCTGTCATTTTATTTTGGATTAAATTAATTTGTTATTAGTTACAAGACTCCGTAACATCTTCTTATCTATTATATTAAAAGAGAAGTCATGACTCATTTCATATGTGATTTTTTAGTTTGAACCATTATTAGAAATTTTATAAAATTTTACATAACATTATTATAATATCTTTTCATATCTTTAGTTTTTGTTTGAAATACAAATAAACAATCTTAAGAAGATTCTAACAAAATCTTGTAAGAATCTTTTCAAGATATAGTTTTAAAAATTATTTGATAAAAATTTAATTATCATAAATATAATTAAAATTTTAATTCATTTTGAAATTTATAAACAAAAAATTAAAATTATGTAAAATACTTTTAACAATATCCCAAAATTTTTTTTATATATTATGTAGGTCCAATTTAATTTAATTTTTACATATATTTCAAATTTAGAAATAAAAAATATAAATTAGTAATGTTACATAATAATGTTTTTAAATTTTTTTACAAAAATAAAAAAATTTAAATTTTAAATTAATAATATTATAAGACACATATATAATATTATAAAACTGGATGGTATACAGAATCAAATTACATGTATATTTATTTATTGATAACTTTTACTCCCTCCATTTCTTAATATATGATGTTTTGCATCATTGCACAAAAATTAAGAAATTTACATTCTTTTAGAAAATTATTTTTAAAGATATAATTTTAAAATCATTCAACCAATTATTAAAAAGACAATAAAATTTTATTGGTTGAACAATTTCAAATAAAATTAAAGGTAACCTTAAAACTTCAAAATATACCTTAAAATCTCAAAACGTCTTATATTTTGCAACAAAATAAATCTTTTAAAACATCATCAAATTTGAAACGAAAGAAATATTATATAATTTCAAATATTTTTGTATTAAAATACCCGCACGTTTGTGCGGGTCGAAATCTAGTTTTGATTGAAACATAAATTATAGCTTTTTAATGAATAAAAATAAATTATAGAGTTGGTGTAAAAATCCTTAATCCAAAAGATTATCAATGAATATATATAACATGATCACTAAGTAAATAAAGCTAGGGAAAAGAGAAAAGGCAAAAGACAACACGATTAGTCACTATTACTCTTCTTCTCATTCCAAAAACTCCAAAATGCAAAAGTTACAACGTTCAAGAGAGAAACAACTTATAATGTTTACGAAGGCAACAAGAAAAGATCAATTGGAACGAGACAGAACTAAATTCGAAGTGTGTACCCAAGAAACAACCAGAGTCAAGGGCACAACAACAGATCGATGATGAGGCTCATTGTGAAATCAAAGTCTTCTTCCTCTACGTCCACCCTTTCTACGTGTACTGTCGGTGGGAACTGGAGTCACATCCTCTGCAAATACATTCAACAAAGATTCCTCTCAACCAAAACGCACGAGTGTTTATAAGTTTATTACTTAGAGAAAGAAGAGAGCTGAGTTTTATGTGTTACCTATACGACCAATCTTCATGCCAGAACGAGCAAGGGCTCTGAGTGCAGACTGAGCACCAGGGCCTGGAGTCTTGGTTTTGTTTCCTCCAGTCGCACGGAGCTTCACGTGCATGGCCGTAATTCCAAGCTCCTGTCACATATGACCTTAAAGATTATTAAGATGAACATAACATCTAGTAGCACAATGGCATTATAAAAAAATAAGTATGAATCGAGAACAGTATCTGACCTTGCATCTTTGAGCAACATCTTGAGCTGCAAGCATAGCGGCATAAGGAGAGGACTCATCACGGTCAGCCTTCACCTTCATCCCTCCTGCGAAAATATATCTTATAATCAAAAGACATTCAGACAATTTATTCAAACATAAAAAGAAGCTACCAAGATAACATACCGGTGATACGAACGAGAGTTTCTCTTCCAGACAGATCAGTCACGTGCTGCAAAACATTAACACCAACACACATGATTCGAACTGAATTAAGAGAATAGTTACAATATACAATCAATTAAGACAACTTACAATGAAAGTGTCATTGAATGATGCAAAGATGTGAACAACACCGAAAACTTGCTCTCCGTCACGAACGGCAGGTCCGAGAGTTACGGTTTCCTCTTTGGGCTCTCTGGTCTTTCTCCTCGACTATACACAAAAACGGATATCAGATACAACTAATCCTAAACTCATCTGACACCAATTAACATCAATACACTACATAACCATACATACGATTCAGAATCTAAGACTTAGAAGGGTAACCTAAGCGAAGGGAATAATCTCATCGCGGAGTTCGGATCGTAACTGTAAACAAGGTTGTCGATTAGTCAGGTAGAGGAAGGAGCTTACCATGATGTTCAATGAATGACAAGAGACGAAATGCTAGGGCGTTTGGATGCTGCTCGTCTCTGGAAGCTGTGGAAGTGTCACATACACTCGGCGCTACAAAATCAGTCTTTATAGATTAGGGTTACGTCGAAACCACTATGTCATTTGACGTAATTATCCTCGGCTCATGGATTCTTTGCTACGGCGTCGTTTAGTCATTATGGAACATAAAGAAAAAGAAACATATTCTGTGATACGTCGCCGTTTGATTGATGCTGTGTGTGAAAACACTGATCAGAAGAATTTTCAACACTTTCTCAGTATACAACACTGATTAAGAAGAATTTCAACACTTTACTCTGTTTACAAATATTTTTAAACTTTTTAAGAAACCATTGTTGTTAATACAAATTTGGTGTGTGAACAAAACTTGTTTTTCATATATATCATCAAGTATCTTCAAGTACAAAATTTGACACAACAACAAACGATTATAGTGTAGATACTTTTGAATCCATAGGGAATGCAAATACTCTACACATGTAAAAGAAAACATTTACAGACTTTCTTAAAAGATCATAAGACATGAGACATGGCTGGTGAGTGGTGACACCAAAGCAACAACACTTGGAATATTTCTTGAAAACAGCGTGTAGCTTGCTCTCTAGTCTTCTCAGTATGCAGAGACTTGGCTGGAGACACCGAAACAACATACAATATTGCTTCGTTCTTTTTCCTGAAAGAATCTGCAATATTTCTTTGCTTCTTGTTTATAGAATTGTCTAGATTTCTGGTTTATTCTTTCTCGAGGATTCTGTTGTTTTCAGGATGAGATATGTATTCAATAAGGGCCTATCAAGAGAAGATTTAAAATATGTTATACTGGATTTGAAAAATTAATGTTTTATCAACTTTGTTTTACCCAATGGGTTTTACCTATTCATATTTTAACAGTGTCAAAAAAATTTTAACGGACTGAACCAAGAGAAATACACCCCATATTGCCCTTGACTTATAAGTCAGAAAGTTTTCAACTGAAATGTTGTTCACTTTTAGACTTACTGCTCAGTTTCATCCGCAAACGTTGTTTACTTTAGAAATACACCCCATATTTTTTTAGACTTAATGCTAAGTTTCATCCGCAAATGTGTTTAATCTTTAGAGTGGATCATTAAATTAGGTAATCATTCGATTTAATCTTCTTCAGGAAGATAGTTCTTCGGCTTTTCATGATAAGGTGAATATATTAAACTTGCTGTTATGAACATGTTCCTCTGTAGTCCAATTTAGATGGTTATCTTTCTGTTCATAACAACACTGAACAGCTACAGCAACTGACATCTTACGGGAAACACCCTCATACATTATCGGAATAGAATCAAATAAGAAAACGAATTGAGTTTGAAAAATCTGGGAAAATACTGGGAGGAATAGAAGTGTCAGATAAAAATTGCCAAATTTAGTGTTGTGTGCTCATAATGAAACCATTCGCACATCTAATTGAATCATCACTCACAATCAATTCCATTCCTCCAATTTGAAAGATAATTAAACAAACAAAAAAAAGTTGACGGCGAAGTCAGATTAATAATTGCCAAATTAAGTTTTTAAGCTCATCATGAAGCCATTCGCACATCTAATTAAATCATCATTCTCGCCGTTCCGACAATAGGAGAAAAGAAAACGAACTCAAAAAATATCTTAACAGCAAACAGAACACAAATCAAAGAGAAAACAACAACGTAACCTAAGTTACAAAGACGAAACCCTAGAAGACGGCTTGATTATTTTGTGAGATCATGGAAGATCCCCGAGTATATATATGAAAGGTGATGAAACCCTACGCTTCTACCTTTATCGGGCTCAATATTAAGCCACATGGGCTTTTCTATCAGCGAGGAAATAATGCTATATTATTCTCAAAGAGGCAAAATGGGCCTGGCCCAATGAGATTGGTTCCTTTTCCGTGAGTACCATCTCCTTATTGACAATGAGATTGATTACTTTACTTGTCCGTGATTACCGTCTCCTTAGATCAAATTTAAGACCGCAGTCTTGTAGATATATAATTTGTATTCAGCAATTTGGACAAAGTTACGTCTTTGTTACTTGTTTCAAAAGAAAAAACTTATAAAAAATACAAAGCATCAAATTCACTATGATGAATAGATTTTTACACAGACACTGGTTGATACAAAGATTTACAAAAGATGGAGAAAACACATCACATTCAACTCTCTCCTCTCTTTTTTTCTTTTTTCATGCGAGTCCAATTAGTATTATCACAAACAACTTATCTGTTACCAATCATCATCAAGGCTAGCCCTGTGAAAACACATGACGGTGCATATGAATATGAAGAACGACGTGAATTCTATCAGCATTGCACCCGTCTCGATCATTCCCGCATGCCTTAAAATAATTGGAATCGCCAGGCTTCCCACGGTTGATGCTCCTGTCAAGAACTTTGCTGCATCTATCCACCTGGCGTTTTAAAAAGGAGTAAAATTAGTGATTTAAGGTTATGAAAACTTTTGGATTAGTAGTGAAGGCTACAAGTTAACTGACCCTCCACCATCTCGGCTAATTAGGAACTGTGTTGAGCCTCCTCCAAAGAACATACATGGCATAGGCACAACTACATACATGAGTGCTGACAGCATTGGCCACCAGTTACCATATATCGCACACGCCTGACAATTAGACACAACAACAAAAAAGGTTACTGCTGTATTGTTTCTCAGATGAGTAGACTTTGTGGTACTCATCAAATGATTCAATCCACTAAGAAGGGAAGCATACAATAAAACTTATCAAATATGAAAAATCTGACAAACCTTGCTTCTTTTTATCGAATTCAAAAGAAAAACAATACCTAAATAAGGACCTGATACGAGTTCAGGAGGGAAGGTGCTTGGGTTTGGAAAAGTTGCAAGTTAGACACTGAGTTAGCACCTGCATTTCTCTATTATCTTCCTATAACTACTATATGTATCTGAATAGAGGTTGCAGTTGAAGTTTTCAGCTAAGCATAAAAAAAGTCAACGTTGGCTAGCGTTGGAAGGTGACAAGGATAATGATTCTAAAGGTTATTTTGGTTTTGGATGGTTCTTTGTGAGGTCTAAAGCTAGTTAATCAGCATACAAAAGAGTAAAGCTCAATACTTCGAAATATGCAAAACATGAGAAGGCTCGAATGTTGCAACAAGAGGACAAAAGGAACCGGTATACACTCAACTAAGTAATCGCATAAGTAACCAACAAAAATGCTAATATGAGAAGAATGATCTAAACCCTAGCTTAAAGAACTAAAGCTAATAAATCATGATATTGAGAAAAGTAGAGTGCTATATATATAAAACCATACCAGGATCTGAAGGAGGATACTCGATGAAAACATGAAGGCAAGTCCAGCAAGTCTGTGTATCAAAAACAAAACAATCCTATAAGATCACATGACACGAATGTAACAACAAAGTAATAAAAGAGCTTTGGAGAGTCTTCAACTTACACTGTACCAAAACATCAATTTTGAGCATTCCAGAAGTAACCCACATCAGAGGAAAAAAAATGAAAAACAATTAATGAGTTTGAACAATTAGCAAAAATCAGAAACCCTAGCTTAGAATTCATGAATCCCTAAAACAACAACTCACAATCTGAGTGAATCAAAGACTCAAACCTATGATGAAAACAAACACTACCGATAGCGTTTTCGAAGCTGCTACTGAAGATACGAACATGAAGCAAGGAATCTGATTGAAATCTGATTCAATTTCGCTATGAGAGGTGATTTTTACCTTCGATAGTCATCACCATGTTGGCGACTGAATAAAAGTTGTGATTTAGGGAGATCGATTCTTGACGATCGCCGGTGGACGGTGAGATTCGTTGTTACCCACCGAGAGAGGGAGATGGAGAAAAGAATTGGTTTCGGCGATTTGTGAGCAAAACCGAAACACACAAAGTCCTAAACCGAACCAAGACCGGCCAAAATTGGTTTTCTTTCTTTGACTGATTCTAATCCTTTTGGTTTGGTTTTTTTTGGGTTATAATTGGGTTTCAGAACTATCGATTGCTTTTAATAAATGAACATCTACATGTTTTTTTAATACTGTGGAGATCCCAAAAGTTTTATAGACCCAAAAACTAATTCCAAAAAACCAAATCCAACTAAACTTTCATGAATAGTAAATTTTACTGAAATTCCAGCTGAATTCTTATACCATTAATTTAAGACGATTTGATTTATATATGAACATTTACTTAGGTATTCGATTATGATATTCAGTTTTGTTATTAGTAGAAACTGTAGTACTATCAGTGAAAATGTGTGATATTAAGATTTCTGGAATACGATTTTATAAGAGCGATTAGACAAATAATTTATTCATATTAGGGTATGTAACTTTTAATCTTTTTTATGTCAACATGTAAACTCTTTAACAATGTCTAGCTTAGTGTCACTCCTCCAATGATGTGGTATTATTCACAAAGTGTATAAATCATGATACAGTATTAGTTTGTCAAGATTGTTGGAAGCCAAACTCCAGCAATACACATTGTTATGTTTTCTGGTTTAAGACATTTTTTTGTGAGTTTAGACTGGAATGGCGACACATCAACATCAACACAAAGCAATTGTTATTGTTGGTTCCAACACTACATATGGAATTGTTTTAAAAGTTTTTTTGTTTGTTTTGTTTTCTAACTAAATATTTGGAACAACCCAGAATCTTTAGTTTCTCGAGTTCTAAAGGGTAAATATTTCAAAAATGGTAATTTTCTAGAGTGTGGAATGGGGACAAGACCGTCATATGCATGGAGGAGTATCATGCACGGTAGAGAACTGCTCAAAAAGGGGTTATATCGTCATATTGGAAATGGGGCTGATACAAATGTTTGGGCGGAAAATTGGATTATCGACACAATTCCACGGCCTCCAATGTACCGTGAGAACAGCTCGATAAACTTAACACTTAAAGTATCGGACTTGTTAGTTCAAGGGTCAAATCAATGGAATATCAACTTGTTACAGCAAACTTTTACACCACAAGATGTTCAAAGGATTCTTCTTCTTAAGCCATCAATGGTAAATGATGATTCTATTAGATGGGGCTTCACAACGAATGGTTGTTATTCTACTCGTAGTGGGTACAAGTTGTTAGAGGCATTGGTGGATTTTGACCAACCTCAAGGACACACACTTACTCCGGTTGAACGGCAACTGTGGAGAGAAATGTGGAAAACTAAAGCTCCCCCAAAAATAAAACATTTTATGTGGCGGGCATTATCTGGTGCTTTGGCAGTTAAGCAGCGCTTGACTACTAGGGGGATTCCGATTGATCCAACTTGTTATGTTTGTGGTAATGGTCCGGAAAGTATCTGTCATGTTCTCTTTACATGTGATAAAGCACGAGAAACATGGGAGCTTTCCAATTTTCCAGTACCTTTAGGAGGTTTCTCTCGGAATTCCACTTTTTTAAATTTTGTGCACTTGATCAAGATCCACAAGAGCCCCTCTATCGATAATCATACAAGGAATGTTTTCCCATGGTTGTTATGGGAAATTTGGAAAGCTAGAAACGCTTTCGTCTTTGAGTCTAAGAGGATAGAGGCATCTTTCATTGCTAGTAAAGCTTATGAGGAAGAATCCACATGGTTCGATACTTTCTCTGGTAGGAAGGAAGGAGGTGATGAGGTTGTTCCGGAAACCATTAAATGGAAAAAA